TTCTTCTTCCTTTTTTCTGTTTTTTTTTTTTTTTTACATCTTTCGATTCGGAGAACTCATCCTGGAGGGCTGCTCGTAAAAAGAACATCAGAATTTCTTTTAATTATCTCTTTGAAGTTAGAGAAAGAGAGAGGGGTGGAGGGGGGAAGGAGGGAGAGAGATGACGATTCTCGACGTTCTATTACACAATGGAAAATAAATATAATGAAAACAAAAAAAAATTAAATGTATAGAAAATAAAGAGAGAAAGAGAAAGAGAGAGAGAGAGAGAGAGAGAGAGAGAGAGAGAGAGAGAGAGCAGAGCAGAGATGTAGAGTTACTACATTTCTTTTTTTCTTTTTTCATTTCTCTTTTTTTTTTTTTTTTTTTTTTTTATTCGTCGTCTCTCTCTTAGCACACGCGAAACTAAATATAGGGACACATGACGGAAGATAACGATGCCAGAATGACCATGTTGTCGTAAAAATAGCGAGCTTCTAGAGCGACCTTCGTGAGATATTTAGGCCTACCGTGTAATCACCGGACGGCTTAAAGTCAACCCTCTTTCAACGTACCCTTCTGAATTATAAAAAAAAAAAAAAAAAAAAGAAAAAAAAAAGAAGAGGGAATCATTGCCCGTGGCCTTAACGCCAAGTTTTCCTTATGCCAACAGTTCGACGACGTATTTCCTTTTTCACTTTTTTTTTTCGTTTTTTTCCCCTCCTTTTACAATAGTTCATTTAATATCAATTAAATGTGGAAGAGAGAGAGAGAGAGAGAGAGAGACGGGGGAGGGGGTTGGGAGTGGAAATTAGTCGCTTTTTTTTTTTGACATTTGGTGCAAAAAAAATATTCTTCCCTTAATGAGATGATTAACGAACGAAAAGAAATTAAACAAATATATGAAAGATAAAAGGTATCGTAAAGTTCATAACATTTTCGTGTAACATTTTACTCTTTTCTTTCTATAATTTTATTGTCGCTTATTCTCTTGAAATAGAACAGCTATCAATCTAATGTCAACTATCAATCTAATGTCAATTGTCAATATTATAAATTCAAAAGGGGTCATAAAGTATTTTAAATATATATATATATATATATATATATATATATATATATATATATATATATATTCCGGTAATACGATAAGGATCGACATTAAAACGAATAATCTCGAATCTACGAATGACTTTTAACAATAAGAGGGAAAAGAAGAAGGGGAAGGGAATCTTGAAGTACTTTCTATAGAATCTTCGAAGAACTTCGAGAAACTTGGATTTAAATTGGAATATTAAGAATTAATTGTGAAAGAAGAATTAAGGTTAGTTACGTTTTCGAAATCGAGAACACGCGATCATGTTATTTCTTTTTTCTTTTTTCCTTTTCTTTTTTTTTTTTTTTTTTTTTTTTTTTTTTTGTTTTTCTACTTTTTTTCTTCCTGTAAAAATTATGAGAGGACATTTTAATATATGAAAGAAGGACGATACTAAGAATATATGTATCTGTTTCTCTCTCTCTCTCTCTCTCTCTCTCTCTCTCTTTTCTCCTTTTCTTTTTCTTTCTCTGTCTTATTTCTTTGTCTTCGTCTTTCTAAAAAGAAAATATCGTCTTTTCTCTGTTCTTCTTTTTCTTATTACTTCTCCTCGTGAGAACAAGCAAGGAGAAAGCAGGTGTAGATATGTTCCTTCTCTCTCCCTCCCATTCATTTTCTCTCTCTTTCATTTTCTCTCTTTCTCTATTTTTTTCATCTTTCTTTCTTAAGGAAAAAAAGAAAGTATCCTTATTTCCGTAGCATTCGCACAACGTATTTCCTACATCGATATTGAACGTGTAAACGAGGACGACATAACTATAAGGCAAACACGAAAAAGTATCTATTTTATATATATATATATATATATATATATATATATATATATATATATTAACGTGCATATAGGTGTTAGATTTGCTTTTAGATTCTTTCTATAATCGAGCCTTGCCTTAACTTTTCCTCCAATATCCTCTTTGTCAAATAAATATATATATATATATATATACACGCATATATACACACATATACATTTATAAGGATATCCAATCATCTTGCTCATCATATTTCCACGCCAATTTATTTTCTTTTAACGCGTTAATAATTTCTTCTTATGCTTTACCACCTCTATTATGTTTTTTGGTCAAAAAACCTTCCCTCCTTCCTTCCCTCCTTCCTTCCTTCCTTCCTACTTTCCTTCCTTTTTTTTTCGGTACTCTGATATTTTTCTATTCCCAACAGCTCCGTAGAAAAGCTTCTGTTCCGGACCACTTCATCCCATGCTTACCACCCTTTCACGGTGCTTGGCACGCCCTCGCTTTTCTTTCCAACCCGCTAACCCCACCTCCCACCTCCCATCTACCTTTCTTCTTTCTAGTTTTCTTCTACCTTCTTCTTTTACCTTCTCTATCTTTTCTTCTTATTGATCGTTCTTCTGTTGCAAATATGTATGGAAAGAAAAAAAAAAAGAAAAAAAAAAAAAAAGAAAAAAAGAAAGAGAAAAAGAAAATGAAAAAAAAAAAAAAACAAAAGGAGTAATTTCAATTTGTCGCAACTTTTTCATTGAAATTATTCGACAATCCGATCTGTATTAATGTCCGTTCTTCGTTTGTTTGTTTGTTCGTTTATTT